CGTCCGGCCATTCTTTGATACGCAACGCAAAAAAAAAAAAAAAGTTGTAAAATTGTTTAAGAAGTTAAAATCAGGTCAACATGGTTCTCTCAAATACTATAATTATATTAAGCATATGTCTTAATCAAGCAAGTTGACAAATAAAAGAAGACAATCCATTCAATCTCATCATTTCCTTTCAATTTTAGTTATCCTTCATAAAGTGTAAATCCTTGTGTTGCATCAAAGTGTCAAGCCTGCTTCAGGTTGCTTGATGGTGAATAGCACAAAAGAAACTGTTTATTTCCGAAAAAAATACCATAGTTATCAGAAATTCATGAAATTGAATGTCATAGATATGTGTCCTAGATAGCTCCTATTTCCAAAATAGCATATCATGAGACTACTTAAAAACTCTAAGAGTTTAAGGTTTAATTGCAAAATCTGTTAGATGAAGGCTTCTTGGCTTCTTTCTACCATGAGGAGCTTTTGCGTTCTTTGTGAGAAACAATGATGGAAGTATAAGGTTGTTTATAAATTATAGAGAATGTAACAAAATAAAAATATAAACTTTTGCCCCAGATTGACAACCTTTTCAATCAATTTCAACGAACATTAATATTCTCACAGAAATACCTCTAGTCTGAAGAATATGTGGTAAAGAACACAAGAAAGTATGTTGAAGAAACACTTTTCAAACTCATTATGGGCATTATGTATTCTTATTTATGCCATTCAAGTTAACTAAAATCCCAGCAAATTAAGAAATCAATAATAAAAGCAAATTTTAAGCTTTTTTATTTAAGAGGATTCAATGATTTAACGATCAAATAAGGAGTTCGCTATGCCATCCTACATTGAATGAAGGTTAAGTGTATAATATATAAAAGTTATTGGGAACCTGAAGAAAAAATTTAATGGGATTATGACATTTGCATGAGAGTTCCAACAAAAGTTTGGCCAAAACTTATCATGTGTTATATTGGCCAAGCTCTTTTGAATTTTGGCCAAACTCTTCGAGTTTTGGCCAAAACTCCCAAATTTCAACAACAATAATTAAACCGGTAATTAATAACAAATGCCAATTTTTACATGTTCCAACAAAAATTGTGCTGAAACTTAACCATGATATTGACCCTTCAAAAGTTGAGATGATACAACCATAAACCTACAAAGCATAGAAGATCCTCACATCATGATGGATGATTACCCGGAGCACGATTAAACGAAAAAAAATAGGAAATCACGCTCCCGCTCCCGCTCTCCCGATCGCGAAATGTCGCGACCGCTCCCACCTCTCTTGTTCGCGAACCGCTCCGGCCAACTCCCGCCGACGTTCGCGAATCATCGCGCCTCCCTTCCTGTTAGCGATAAAAGGGATCGCACGGCTCTCATTCAGTTTACTGCACGGTCTTTTTTGTGTTCTACTTCGAGCTTCCACGGAACAGAGGAAGAGAAGTGCAAGGAGTTCCTTGAGGCAGAAGGAAGAAGAAAGAAGAAAAAATTATTCTCACTTGACTTCTTCTTGGTGCTTGTGGCAGAAAAGAATTTAGGTTTATTTCTCTTGTAAGTATCTTCTTCGGTCTATCTCAGTGTAGAGAGAGAAGAGAGCAAAGAACTGAGAGATTCCTCTTGTAAGTCGAGACGATCGACCGGTATAAATTTCACTAGTAGTAAAATCTTTCGCAACTCCGTGGACGTAGGCATTTTGCCGAACCACATAAATTTGTGTATTCCGCTGTGTTACTGTTTTGTGTTACTGTTTTCTGGATTTCTGGAGTGAATTTTCTCGTTCTATTTTTTCGCTTCATCGTCAATCGTTCTTCTATTTTAATTTTATATATATACCGCAACAACTGGTATCAGAGTCCGTTGTTTTGAATCTAAGGAAGAAAAATGGTTGCAAATGAAGTGAAGGTTTCAGAGATCAAGAAATTTGATGCACTGATTTTTGTTATTGGATAATGCAGATATATAACTATCTTTATGAGAAGAAACATCATCTTCCGTTATTGGGGAAAAGACCTGAAAGAATGGATGGGGCTGAATGGAATCTGTCAGATCGACAGGTTCTAGGGGTTATTCGATTGATCCTATCGAGGTTTGCTGCACACAACGTCGTCAAAGAAAGAATGACTGTAGATCTCATCACAGTCTTATCAGGGATGTATGAAAAGCCATAGGCTAATAACAATATGTACTTGATGAAGAAGTTATTTAATTTGAAGATGGCGGAAGGTGTTTCTATTGCTCAAGACCTGAATGATTTCAATACTATCACAAATCAATTTTTGTCTGTTGAAATTGATTTTGATAATGGGATACGTGTGCTGATATTGTTGGCATCATTGTCAAATAGTTGGGAAGTCATAACGACGATAGTTAGCAGTTCTGCAGGTAAATATAAACTGAAATATGATGATATTCGTGATTTGATTTTGGATGAGGAAGTGCGCATGAAAGATTCTAACGAGATCTCAGGTATGAGTTCGACACTGAATGTTGATATCAGAGGGAGATCAAAATCAAAATCTAGTTATAAAGCAACCTGCTGGAATTGTGGCAAGGCTGGCCACATAAAAAGAAACTGTAGGAATCCCAAAAATATGGAGAATGATAACGCAAATGTGGTATTTGAAGAAGTATATGATGCACTATTGCTGATAGTTCATAGTTATGTTGATGATGGAAGTGAAGAGGAGAGTGGATTTGGGGCACCTATTCCTATTGTTTCACAGACAGATGGTAGAGAACCACAAAACTATGAAGAAAGCTTGCAAGATGAAAGTTCGAGCAAGTGGGAGCTGGCCGAACTTCCACCAGAGAAGAAAGCATTACACAACAAGTCGGTGTACCAGGTGAAGACTGAGCGTGATGTCAGTAAGAGGTACAATGCTAGACTTGTTGAAAAAGACTTTCATTAGATGCAGGATAATGCAGTGGGAGTTGTGAGCAGAGACAAGAGTAATCTAGGAAATAGCTTGGAGGTGCAAGGCTATGTGAACTCTGTTGATATGTTTACTAAGGGTGTTACTCTTACGAAACTGAAGTTGTGCACAACTTCAGTTGATTTTCTGGTGAGAAGACAGTGATTTTGAATTGCAGGGGAGAAAGATTCATGTTTGAAGAAAAAGAGTGACATCACTAGTGGAGGATATCAGTTTGAGGAAGAAGATGTTGTAGTTTGTGTATCGGTCTCCAAGTGGGAGATTTGTTAGCTGGAGCCCGATTAAACGAAAAAAAAAGGAAATCATGCTCCTGCTCCCGCTCCCCCGATCGGAAATGTCGCGACCGCTCCCGCCTCTCCTGTTTAACCGCTCCCGCCAACTCCTGCTGACGTTCGCGAATCATCGCGCCTCCCTTCTTGTTAGCAATAAAAGGGATCGCGCGGCTCTCCTTCAGTTTACTGCACGACCTTTTTTGTGTTCTTCTTCGGGTTTCCACAAGACAGAGGAAGAGAAGTGCAAGGAGTAGTTCCTTGCGGCAGAAGAAAGAAGAAAAAATAAAAAAAGAAAAAAGAAAAAGATTATTCTCCATTGACTTCTTCTTGGTGGCTTATGATAGAAAAGAAATTGGGTTTATTTCTCTTGTAAGTTTATTTTCTTCGGTGTAGAGAGAGAAGAAGAGAGAGCAAGAAACTGAGAGATTCATCGAGACGATCGACTTGTGTAAATTCCTCAAGTAGTAAAATCCTCTGCAACTCCGTAGACATATGCATTTTGTTGAATCACGTAAATCTGTGTATTCCGCTGTGTTAATATTTTCTAATGTGAATTTTCTCATTCTATTTTTTCGCTTCGTCGTTGATCGTTTTTTCTATTTTATTTTATATATATACTGTAACGAATCCGCTTTCAAATTTAACTTCTCTTACAACTAACACACCATTTATTCTTGTGATGTTATTTTAGCTGCTAAGCTATACTCATATGAAAGTTTACCAACAAAACTAACTTCATGCTCGATAATTGAAAGAGCTAATTACCTTTTACTTTGATAGATACTAATAACATTGGAGTTAGTATGATTAAATTAATTGTACAATTGTGAAAGTGAAATACAGTATACTTATTAATCAATTATTATTGAGACCAACTGCTCGTCATAAAATATGCATATAGGCATACCTGCTGAATGGGACTTCGATCAATTATAAGTTTGATGTACCAAGCCTTGAGTCATTAACATGAAAGCAAGTTATTGAAAATAATCATACAAAAATTGTTAATCCAATATATCATATAAACTTAGAAACATACAGGTACATCTAAATTAGTAAATTATTTCATGTTACTAAATTTAATCAGAAGTTCAACCAAATAAGTAATAAGTTCCACATAAAGGTTATATTTTCTGACATAAATAGTTAAGCACGTCCATACATCTTGCAAGACAATATCTCCACAAAAAAGCAATTTCTAAAAGTACATTAAGGATCCAATAAATAAATCCACAGAGAAACTAGCAGATAACAGGTTTCTCATGATGCTTTAAAACAGCACAAAAGTAATAGGTGTCATACCAGGGCTGGCCAGAGCAATTAATAGCAAACAACAGAAGAAGAAAATAACAGGGAAAAAGATAGTAATCACACCAACAAATACTCGAAAGGAATTCTAAAAATTTCATGTTTTTCCCCATAATTATCCTGAAAAACCCTGAAAACTGAGTCGTCAAACTCAGATCAAAGGATTCAAACCCGTGGCCCAGTTGCACTCACGCTTGGCTGGAATTAAAATCGCAACTTTCTCTCAAATTAGCAAAGAAAGAAGAGAGAAACGAGCAACCAAATAGGAATTAAAAAGGAAACGGAAACTAAGGGCCTGTCTGATAACGGATTTAGAGCAGGATTTAAGCTGGATTTAACCTAAATCTTGCCAGACTGTCATCTTGCATAAAAAAAAGGCTAGGATTTGATAATCCGGATTTCACTGATTTCGGGCTTAAATCCCGTGAAACGGTGGATTTAGTAAATCCGGGACGGACGCTTCGAGCGAGAAAAAAAAAAGACGTGAAGTTACCTTCCTCAAAGGTTTCGGGTAGGAGACGAACAGGAGGAAACAAAAGGGAGTTTCGGGTCTCTGTAAGCCGCGATCCCGTCGTTGCGTTCCCAGGTAGCTCCAATTGCGACTGTATCGCGAGGGTTCGGTGGCGAAGGGGACGGTTTTGGACGAAAAGCAGAGGGTTGGGGGGTACATGCGAGGGTTTCGGGGTAGCGGGTAGGCGAGGGTTTCGGGAGAGGAGCGATATAGGCGAAGTCGACTCGTTGGCTCCTCGGCATGCTCATTTAAAAAAAAATAATAAAAAGTACATTCAAAGAATATTAAATTTAATGAATTTACCTTTAAAAATATTTTAAAAATAATATTTTATATTTATATTAATTATTTTTTTTTATTTATCTTCTAATTGTCCATTCTATTTATCATTTTATTATAACATTAATATTATTTTTACATTTTTTATAATAAACAAGAAGCTCGAAAACTTAAGCTCGCACTAGAAAAAAGTAATTAAACTCAAGCTCAAACCGATGGTGGCACGAGCTCAACTTGACTCGTTTACACCCCTAGGCCGCGGATAAAGAAAAGAGGTGATCGACCAAGGTGAAGACTTTGTGGTGGTAGTGATAGGGGAAAGGTTATGGCCCACCAACATTCGAGTGTTACGTACATGTAAAGTTATGGGTGTCATATTTCTAAGAAATTAGAAGAAATATTATTTTGATGCATGACCCAGGCTTATTATTATTATTATTATTATTATTATTATTATTATTATTATTATTATTATTATTATTATTATTATTATTATTATTATTATTATTATTATTATTATTATTATTATTATTATTATTATTATTATTATTATTATTATTATATATATATATATTGTTTTCAGGCTAAGGTTTTTCTTTCGCTCCTCTTACTAGGGTTTTTGTGATAGCTCTGTGATTTCTGAAGAGCTTAGCAACAAAGCAATTTTGAAAATGAAAAGTAAAACTTTTTGTGAAAAGAAGGAAATAGATGAGAGTTTAGTTGCCATAAAAATGTTAACATTGTTTTATGTTTGTTTCATATCTTTTGTAGTTTGAATCAATGTCATTTTAGATATGGATTTATAATTTTTAAACCATACATAGTATTCTTTGTTGGGTTTGAGTAAATATCCTTTTGTTATTATATGTTTTCATTTGTTTCTTACATGGGAGAAGCAAAGATATGATTCATTTGTGAGGAAAAACATAATATTTGTACCACAATACTATTATAATATCATCACAATACACCTCTAATATCAGCCAAAAAAATAATATAATACAATCATAACACCTCCACAATACTAATATAATATGACAATAATATCACATCAATATCATTGAAATATCAAAATGTCACTTCAATACTATCACAATGCCACCAATACACTAACTCAATACTATGGTGGTTTTCTAGTGGGTTGTATTAAGGTGGAATTGTGGTGGTATTGAGTGATTTTGAGGTATTATTGTGGTTATATCATGTTGGTATTGTGGAGGTATTATGTTATTTTTTTGGTATTGTGTGTGTATTGTATTGTCGTTGTGTTGGTATGGTGATGGTACTGTGATGATATTATAGTGGTGTATTAGTGCTATTTTTGAGGTTTTGTGAGAGAATTTTGGTGGTATCATATATTGTTGAGAAATATTTTTTATTCTTTTTAAAAACTCAGAGTTGTTAATTTGTTTATATATATGCGTCCTCGTATAATTTCATTTTCCAAATAAATCACCCTCTTGGATCATATAGAATGGTTTGAAGAGGAGAGGAATCGGAAAAGACATGATAAACAACAAAAATAGACAAACAAATTTTAAAAAATAAACATGGATGACTTATGTATAGGGCAATCCTCGTTTGATAGGTCGAAAGTATATTTCAGAACAAGATCGAATCGAAATACCTTGAAACACGGTATCCACGAAGAAAATCCCTACAACAGTCACGTATAATCAGAAACTAAAAAGAACATTTTGGTTCTAGGGTCAAGAGCACTCCCAACGTAAAGTGCTCTTTGGTTAATTACTTTTTAAAGGACACTGAAAAATACTCTCGATAAAAGGAGTCTTGCTTACATTATCATTAACGGTAGATAGGTCACCAAAAAAAAATGTTTATTTCACAAAATTATCCCGACACTTTCAAAGCTCTCGCTAAGCCACAGAACAGAGTGTGAGTCTCTTACATCTCAAATAGGTAGCATATCATTGGCTTATAAGGCCTACAAAATAATCGGGCCATAAGGGCAGAGGGTGAATTATCATAACCCAAATGGGCAATGACCTATCCACAATCAAGGCCTACAAGACGACATCAATGAAGTCAAAATGACGAGAGGACTCAAAGGGGATGAACAAAAAGAGAGGTAGGGCAATCATAATCGAGTAGAGATATTCGAGTCAGGATACCATAAACATGTCATCCCAAGCTATTAAAACCCTAAGTCTACCTAGTCGTGAAGGTAGTCAACCCAGCACAACTAGAGACTCCTTGTCAGCAATATGTGAATTGCGTCATCCAAGGAGATCTCAGTAGCCCTAAGGTCAAAAGAAGGAAACACTAAGGCCCCGTTTGGGGCAGCTTATAAATGTGTTTGGTGTTTTGAAAAAGTTGAAGGGGGTGTTTGTTTCGTGTGTTTGAGCCGCTTATATGAAATTGTTGTTTTGGTTTGTTTATTAAACGTGATCACGGGATCAACCCCATAGCCCGCGTCCTTAACTTCGCTTATTGCTCTCGTGCCTTTTTGTTGATCTGTCTCCTCGCTCGGCCACTACTCTATCCAAGGTAACTCCTCACTCGCCTATTTCCCTTGGTTGCTCTATCTCGCGATTATGATGTCTTTCACCCCTTCCTCGTCCCTCCAACCTTTAGGTAGTGTGCTTTGTAAGTAATTTCGATGAAATGCTTTTTTATATGCAATTTGTGGTTGTTTTGGATCGAATAGTCATCTTTATGAGATTTTCTATGAAATGGCTTTCTATGCGCGATTTTTCAATTTTTGGATAATTTGAAGAATGAGTGAAAGTGAATTGGAATGAATGAGGTTGTAACTTGTAGCTTTGTGTGATTCTCCGTTGTAATTGGCTATATGCATTGTTGTGTCGCTATGGTTGCCTTGGGTGGTGGTTATGTGTGGTTTGTGGGCATCTATATGATAGTGGTATTTGACAGTGGGTGTTTGTGTGTGTGGTTGTATTTGATTGTTGGCTTAAAACTTACATGTGTAGCATACAATTATGATATATTTTGTTGTGTGTGTGTGTGGCCTTGGATGCTCTGTGTTGTGGTTTGTGTTGTGTTGAAGTATTTGTGTGGGGCTTGGTTGGGTGGTGGTTGAGTTGGGTTAAGGGTGTGTGTGTGGTTGTGTGTTGTGTTGGGTTGTAGGTATGTGCTATGTGTGTGGGGTTGTGGGTGTATGTGTGTCCATGTGCAGTGTAGGGTTAGATGGTATTTCTAGAAGACGACGTAGCTCGTGACATACAACATCTGGATTTGAAATTTAATTTTTTATATTTTAAATTGCAATTTTAATTTTTTTTCTTATTTTTTTTATTAATCTTCATACTCACTGTTAGGTGAGGTATGTATCTAATTTTTTGTACAGTTAAAGTCTTTTTTTGTTTCTTAAATATCAAATATATTGCTATGATAGTTCTGTTATAAACAATATTATTACAAATAGGCAGAATGATCATTTATCCAGAAACATGTACAAAATAATTGTTTTTCAACAACACAAATCAAACGACCAACTAGTTTATCCGGATCAACTGTTGATCAACAACTTATCTGGATCAACTGCTTACAGCTACCCCGAACAGACCCTAAGTTATATGACCCTAAAAAGGTATAGTTCAAAGAGGTGGGAACTTATACTCACCAATTAAATGACAAAGATGCCACCAAAGTGAAGAGAAAAGAGAGGTCCAACTACAAAGCAGAAAATGCTCTCACCTAGAACTTATGCCCCATCTGGGTTTGGGAAGCCTTTAACACTCTAATCGTATTAGGCAACCGCCTAAGCAGAAATCTATGTTGGGACAATCAGGTTGAAGAAGCATGGGGGCTTCTTATCGGAACATGTAATCCGATGCAGATATCTACCACAGTCCTAAACGTGGAACCCTATTAATATGCTTCGGTGATAGTCATGCATGCAACCAATTTAAAAACCAGCACGATGGTCATGCAAAAAATTAAAGTGCATGTTTAAAAGATTGAATATTTTAATCCTAAAATTTTGATTAATCTTAAATTTTTATTAGTCTTTTTATAGAAAAATTATAATATTCGGATCCTTAAAGAGCCTAGGTTATAGAGTAAGGTTTCCAAACAACCCACAGTCAAATAATAACAAGAAGGTAAGCACAATGCGCGAGGAAAGTAAAGCAAGCCAAAATAAAATAATAATTAACCGAGTGTAGCTGAGTCGACAACCTATCCCAGAAAAGCAAAAAGGTGGTCAGACTCCACATATACATGTCTGGTCCTAGATGTTATAGATAAATACCAAACTGCAGAATTAAGATACGAGACATGAGTCTCTACTCTTAGTCCCCGCCACATGGTTCCACGCCTCAAGCGCTTCAGGACTAGTGCCCGTATCTTATTTTCACTACAGACTCTCCTATAACTCTAAAAAGTACACAAGAAAATCCAAAAAAGACTCGACCTGCACAAAAATCATCTAAGCAAAAGTTATCTACATGCAACGTGGTGAATCATGCCCGGTGATAGGAGTGCTAAACAACAATTGTAAGCAAAAGGATTAGCATAAATCAATGCAGCTCATCCCTGTTCGACATGGCTTCCTGCAAGAAAACCGCCCTAATATACTGGTGTGCACTTCTTAAAACACTAGTAAACACGCAAAAGCCGCACACAAAGTGATGTCTGGCTAGGGCAACCAAACTAATAAAGAACTATAGTCAAGATTTTGAAAAGACTACCTAGTACCCTAATCCTAGCCTAACATACCATCTAAAAAAATTTCCCAATCATAGTATCTAAATGTGTGCACAATGTAGGATTAAAGTCACCGTGTATGACTTTGACGAGGTCGCCAAGCCGGTTCCTTCCTAAAGATCTAAGGGATCTAAAGTACGTCACTAAAAGGGGTGACATTTAAAAATAACAAGTGACTTCACATATAGCCCAACTTATATAGCTTCAAAAGTAGGCAGATAACATAATTGAAAAATATCCATTTTTGTACTTTTTAATTATGACCATTAAAAACAGGTATGTAATAAATAATTGACGTACTTCAGAGTCCTTGGACACTAAGCACAATCACACACGAGTTGACTGTAATACAAAAACTTGCATTGCTTGCTAAGCTATCCCCGCGAGCAATGCCAGCTTAAGTACTACGACCAACAACTGGGTCACTCATTCTAACGAGTAGGATTTGTCAACACTCGTGCGCTCGAAGACGCAAAGCTGTATACTCTTGTGAGTTTGGTTAAAACTTAAAAGCCTAAACATTTGTATATTTCTGTTATAATGTATGTGAAACTACCTACTTATGTGCTTTAGAAATGCAAATTTAGATAATTACTACATTTTGAATTTAAATTTTGTTTCTAGAATGCAAATAAAAAATAATGAAAGATATTTTTGGACATTTACATACATACCACACAAATCTTTTGTATGTATATATCTAAAAACTACACATTTATATTTACATGCATATCACTCAAATTTTTAACATCACAATAAAAATATCAATATTACTATCTTTTTAAAAATCAAAATACACCTTTTCATGGATAGGTTTATGACACCACTGTTTTAAATGTTAGATTTGTAAATACTGTGTGCCATGTAAGTAAATATTGGTGTCATAAACAAACAAAAAAACATATATAAACTTCATATACATATATATATATATATATATATATATATATATACATACATACATATACATATACATTATCCTTACATTATTCAATCAAATAAGAATACAAATAATTCTCTCTCTCTCTCTCTCTCTCTCTCTCTCTCTTTATATATATATAAGGAACGGTCACACACTATTATACGAGCCTCCAGCCACTCCTGATATGCCTAACAATTCGAGTACCTCCTCCTTAAGGCCAATTGTGCCAAAGGAGATTCAAACCCTCGACCTATGGGATCTTACACCGAGAATGCCAACCACTATCGCCTATCATTTGTTCCAAGTACAAACTACAAAAAATCCAATACCCTCTTGAAAAGAATCAATGCTGCTCTTCACCTTCGCTGGTAATTCAATACCCGGATGCAGAAAACAAATATAAAGGCAAAAAGAACAGAGAAGCTCACCAACACCACGGCCACAACACCCATTAAGTCTCCATCATAACCAAAATGGTTCTTCACATAGAGTTTAATTGGCTGGTCGGCCTGCCCCGACACCCGAATTATTGCATCCACATCACCAAATTGGCTCACAATTAACCCATAAACTGTCCATGCTAACGGGCAAAGCCAGTAATACCAAATCCACCCCTTTGCGATCATCTGCAAGATCATTGATTACTTAGCATGAGCTTGAAAGCTCAAGGAGGTCTATAAGATGATTTAGAAGAAACAAGCTTACAGGTCTAGGAATGTAAAAGCCAGAGAAAAGAGCAAATATTGAATAAAAGGCAGATGAGAGGATGGCAGCCACTTGATGATTCGACGATATCGAAACTGTCAGCATCCCATAATAGGTGAAGTACAAAAACGTGGAGAAAGAGATGAAGAAAAACCAGAAAAACTTTTCTGCAATCCATTCAAAACTCATCATGGAGTATGCTACCGCTGTGAACTGCAAGCTCTGGAAGATTATATATGGGATTTCCACAACCACCTGCATGAAAGCAATCTTATGTTAATTTTATACTCTCCAAATATGTAGAATTTGCATGTTAAACAAATAATTATTTTGTGACGCACATGAGCTATGGCGTATGGTACAGCAGAGTACATTCTAGCTCCTCTCTCGCGATAAAATACAATTCTCTCGGTCGAAATAACTGGTTGTACAGTTAAACCATTAATGATGCCAATAAATTGTGATGATATTACCATTGAACCGATAATAATTCTAAGGTCATTTGCATCATCCCTGAGTTAGAAAAGAAGACCAAAAAATGAAAAAAATTAGGAATTGTAGAGAATCAGCTTAAGATGATGAAGTAAAGCATCTAGATAAATGCACCTTTTTTGGCCAATCTTCCAAAACATGCTACCCAAAAGTAGAGAAGTTACAAAGGTGAATGAGAGCCTGACCAAGTTGTAGTGAGGACTCCGCCAATAGGTCCACCAATGCTTCCAGAAGCATATTCTGAATTGGTTGTAAATAGTTTGAGAGTATTTGGAGGGAAAGTAAAGGTCCTCGGATTCCGGGGCTGGTATGCTTAGATTAATAACAAGTTCCCTATTTAGCCTGATTAAAAAAGATGAGATGGAAAAAATTGTGAGTTCGTTGTGGAACGATAGGCCAGAATTTGGGATTAAAAAGGAATAAAATTTCTCCCGATTATTTGGATGTGGTTAATTTAATCCAAAAGTTTTCTAGTCATCTAATGTAGTCCTTCGGAGTATTAAAATTTGCTTACAATTAATCTTTTTTTGTAGAAAGCATGACACAAAAATGGTCTTAATTATTACACAAATTTGGTTTTAGTAATTACACAAAATTGATCTCATTTCAATCCCAAAGGACCAAAAGGGACCAAATTTCAATGCTCAAAGAATTACATCGGAGCACTACAAAACTCAAAGACTAAAATTGGTTACATCTTAATGGTCGAGGGACCGTTTTGGAGTATAACCTAGATTTAAAACATGAATAAACACTTGTCCATAATAAAAATAATGCCTTGTCTAAATAAGAAATTTTCATCAAAATTTTAATTCGTTCGAAGTATTTCGAAGTATTTTAATCTCACAGGAGAGAGAGAGAGAGAATTCTACCTCATATGGTTACAACATATTATTTAGCTATTTAAAATTTAAAATTGAGGAATGCTACATGGCATGTACGTCTAAGAATGAACAGAGAGACAAATTACTAAAAAAAAAAAAAACTTCATATGGTCACGACAAGCATATAAACAAGAATTTGATTTTGCTTACTGGTACAAATTTGATGTTTGATAGTACTCAGCAAAATCAATCTTTTTGTCATCTTTAGCTGCATTTGATGTTATGCCCAGCATCCACGTAGCTGGATTTTCTTTTTCCTTGATTTTCGGAACACCAGGAATTGCCTAATATTTGCAAATTAACAATACTTTATTGCTTATTTCCTTTGCATATGAGGAAAATAATGAACAAAGAAATCTCAAGATATGGGCATATTTGCAATTAATAAATAGCAAAAAAAAATTCAAAACAAAAGATGTAGATTGAGAATGTGACCTCAAAATATTCTATCAATTTTTGAGAGTTTTGGCCAAGAGGACCAGAGTATATGATCTGTCCTCCTCTTTTCAACAACAAAAGCTGTGGCATCAAGTTAGTAAAAATGAAAGTGCATAAGCAAATTTTTGTATATTATCTAGTTTAATTGCAAGAAAAATTGTACATTCTGACTTTATTACCTCATCAAATGATTCAAAAATGTCAATACTTGGTTGATGTATGGTACAGACTATTGTTCGTCCAGTGTCAACTATATTCCTCACAGTTCTCATGACAATGGCTGCAGCTTTTGCATCCAAACCTGTTGTTGGCTCATCCATGAAGATGACTGATGGATTCGCAACGAGTTCTACAGCTACTGTTAATCTTTTTCTTTGTTCTGTAGATAGACCGGAAACACCAGGGAGGCCAACTATGGCATCCTTAAGATTGGAAAGCTCCACCAGCTCCATCACCTCATCTATGAATTTCTGCCCATGAAAAATATTAGCTTTATCCAGAATATATATTGTCAATATAAATATATTAGAAGGGGAACTTCCTCTACATCCATATGATTTCAAGCATCAAATTTTAACCATTGAAAATGCTCACCATTTTTTCTTCTTTGTTAACATTCATAGGAAGACGGAGGAAAGCAGAGTATATCAAGGATTCATTCACAGTGATCTGAGGAGAGTGAATATCATTTTGTTCGCAGTAACCTAAAACTCGTGTAAATGTAGCTTGGTTCTTAGGATAACCAGAAATTCTTATATCTCCTTTAATGTGACCAACATTCTTTCTTCCTGCCAAAACATCCATTAGGGTCGTCTTTCCTGCTCCGCTAACTCCCATTAGGGCGGTCAAGTTTCCAGGACAGAAAGCCCCAGTAATGTCCTTCAGCAATTGGATCCTATCCACAACCTCCCCTTGGTTTTTAATGTCCTTGGAGTCACATATGGTTAAATTAGTATTTTGTAAGAATCAGATTTAGAAGAAAACATAAAAAAATAGAATTTCTCTTAAATTACTTGAACAATTGAATGAATGGTTATTCATAAAAGGATAACCTATTTGATATCAATGAAATAACAAATTTGCATAATTCATATAGCAATTGTGGTTGGGAGAGTTCAGATGTCGCGAAATAAATTATAAGAAAGAGAAAAGTGTCAAAATAGTCCCCTTAACCTTTGTAGGGGGTCATTTTAATCCCATGGTTTATAAAAATATCAATTCAGTCCATAATGAGAACTATTTTAGCCCCCATTAAAACAGTCTAGAGACTAATTTAGCACTTCTATAAACACAAAAACTAAAATGGCCTCCTCTATATAATCAAGGGACCATTTTGGTACTTTACTCCTAAAAGAAAGGTTAACAAATATAAAGCTCACCTGAGGCTTGTCGATAAAGTAATTCACATCATGAAAAGAAACTGTTAATGGTGTGAAAGGAAGAACCATCCCAATCTTTGGAAGACAACTCCTTGATGCATCAATACTTTCAGATGAATAATCCTCGACCTGTAAGTCCACCATTTCTTCTGCAAAAGAGGTTTAATATAATTGTTTCACATAAAAATGAACATTTTCTTCAATCCATAGTCCTTCCAAAGTTTTACAAATAGGTGAGGAAAGATAAGTATTAAATGCATCATACTTTTACTAGCCTCATCAATTGTAGGTAAAGCTTGAGGGGAATAATCATTGACAGTATCCATTATCACAACCTTTAATGTCTTCCTCGTCTCTTTATTTGCTTTTGCCTCAGATATAACTGCTTGGGGCGTTTCAATGGCTATCAACAGATAATTAAGGAAAACCAAATTAAAATTTATCTAATCCAATTTCAGATTGGGAGAAAGGAAATGACCGAGAATAAACTTAGGTTGAAGCTTACGTCCGAGATAGGTTAGTGCAAGAGTGAAAATGACATTAAAAAGAATTACAAAGATTAATAGTGCACCAACACCAATCCAATACCACTTCTTCTCTGGGAAGACGCCAATAGTTTCTAGCACTTCCAAGCCTACGCTTTTACCAGGTGCCTGTAGATTTAGTTCCATTCCATTCAAGCTTGATTATTAACTAGTAATGAAAATGATATTTCTAATCATTTTTTCATGAAATAAAAGTACTGTAGTAGAAATAAGTCACAAGCGATCCTTACAGATCTATTCATCCATCTTGGAGCTAAAAATTCATTGACAGTGAGAGCGGTATATCCATATGTAAGTGGTGAGATCCAATAACCCCACATCCAGTACTTTGGTATCAAATCTGCATCATGAATACAAAGATATCAAGAGCTGGAATATATAATATATATATATATATATATATATGTATATGTATATGTATATAATGAAATTTTCAATAAAATACAAAATTAAGCTGAGCGTTACTTTATTTGGTCTATTTCCATAAAACAAAAGTTGGGCTTAGAGAAAGTATGACTGTAAATAACCTTTAGGAAGAAAACAGCCTCCAACAATAAAAAAAAATAGAAGTGATAGAGCTGCTGCAGAGTTGGAGATTATTATTCTCCGACACAACCCTGCAATTGCCCTGAACAGCCCGAAAGCCACCTGCTGAATCAATAATAGCACAAGGATCTGCTTGAAGAACCTGCATTAAAAACAAATTATGCGTCAAATTCTCAACATTTTCATCAGGAAAACAAAATCAGGTTACCTGCTAGCCTCTGGTGCAAACCCAACCGGGTAATATGTTATAACAACCCAAAAAGTGGACTCTAACACTGAGATGGGGATCCTCATAAAAACTAATGGAAGAGTGAAGGTCCATGCAGGATAGAAAAGGAGATCCCTATGCTTGTAGAAGATTGGAAGCCTTGCAATGGTCAGAGATACTTCTACAAAACAATTGAATATGTTGCAGATCATTCCAAATAGCAGCGCACCATTGTACACAAAGCTATCAGATACCGTGTGTGCTTGCGTCCGTGTTCTCAAGAACACTGTTGATACAATGCATGCCATAACAATGATCTTCAAAACGAGATGGATATCAATTAGTATTATCATTCATGCACCACAAACTGCATTACTGTACGTTCTAACTTGTTATTAATTTAAGAATGAATTAATCAAATCTGAGGATGGAAAGAACCTTGATAGACTTGAAGGCATAGATAAATAAATTTCGCTTGAGGAGGAGCCATTCTTTTGCAAAGGAGGCAGCTAGGAGTTCTGAGTATGGGGTAACATGCTTCTTCAAGACGAGAGCAGCACGGTGATTTATGGTCTTGTCAAAGGGAACTGAGAGCTCATTTTTTAGATGGAGTCCAACATGAAATCGGTGGAAGTGATCAGCAAACTCTTGGGTAGTTATATAGCGATGAGGTTGGGTATGATGAGCCCAATATTGTGCCTGGTCCGTCCTTGATTGTGCCTGGTCCTTGTGAGAGATGACCTCTTGGAGGAAGTCGGCAACGCTTTTTCGCTCTGGACAGCGGAATCCATAAGATTCAAAGAAATCAAGAACATACTCCCGTGGACCTTGGTAAACAATCTGGCCTTCACTTAAAAGGATAATATCATCGAAGAGATTGAAGGTCTCTGGTGTTGGTTGGAGGAGAGACATAAGGACGGTGGCCTCCCCTAGATGTACAATTTGTTGTAAGCACTTCACAATCTGATAAGTTGTAGAGCTGTCTAATCCAGTTGATGTTTCATCCATGAATAGTACTTTTGTCGGCCCAACAAGCACTTCGCCTGTAATTAGCTAATGTTAAGATTGTTCAAAAGGTAGCCACTAAGACAAAATACGGTCATTTACATACATTGCACACATTCTAGTGACATATCTTACATTGAACTTTAATAGTTAGACACATAGCACTGAAATTTTTTTTATCACAATACACCTTTTCATGCATTAATTTAAAGCACCAAATTGATATGTATGTAAATATAAGAGTTTGTGTAAGATATGTAAATACATAAGAATTGTGTGCTATAGATATGTAAATTTCCCAACAAAATATGAAATTTGCAAGCAAAACAGCAAATTAGTAATTGTGTTGACCTTTTAACACATATGTAAAGAAAAAATCACTAGAAATAATTCGTTTGAATTGTGTGCTAGGCATGTTAATTTTCTAAAAAAAATATATTGGCCAGAAATGAACCGGTGGTGAGCCGCTTCTTCTGTCCACCAGAGATCCCTCTTCTCATCTGATCTCCAACAAGAGTATCAGCACATATATCCAACCCAAGTATCTGCATCAACAGAGTATACCTTCAACACGTCACTGTTTGGATATTTATTAGTAATATAAACAATTTTTACAACATTGATCGCCAAACAAAGAACGTTGAGTGAACAGTACTACTGTATAATTGTATAAAAATGTTTTTTTTTTTGGAAAAAAATTAAAATGTCACAAACAGGCGTGCCTTAATAACATATTCTGTTTGGAGGCTATGCTTCACCCCTTCTACTGAAGTAGCCTGCAAGATTTCAAATAGATCATTAGTAAAAACTGGTAAATAATGAATAAAAATAAAGCTCCATAGCTATTATTCCAATAAAAAATCAATTATTTTCAATAAATTCTTTTACAATGTATAGGTGTTCCGCCATAAAAGCAAGAAGGAAAACAAGGCAATGAAAAATGCCCATAAAAAAAGAGCCAACCTTCATGAAAAGGTCAATTTCGGCGTCAGGGAGTATTCCTGCAGCTTTCTCCCTCTTCGAAAGCTCCTTAAGCAGTTCTGCGCCATTTTACAAATGAGTTGAAACTAACTATTCGTTAATTTGATCAGTTTATATACTTTCAAGAAAAATGTAAAATATTAGAATGATATTTGTTTTGAATACCATATTCAGCAGCTCTTACGCCTTGGCACCTAGCAGAGAAATCAAGAGTCTCTCTAACCGTCATCTTTGGCACATGGACGTCGTTTTCTCCAATGTATGCCGCAGATTTTTGGGGAACGAATTCATCGAACTTGTACCCATTGTAAGTAACCGCGCCGCTTGCCTAATCAATAAGTGATGAGTCCCAAATGTTAGAAAGCCATGGAAGTCTATCGCAGAGAACAAACCTTGAGACTGGAGTTCAGATTTCCAGCTAAAGCTTGAAGAAGAGTGGTTTTTCCGGAGGCTGGAGGGCCTAGCAAGAGGGTCATCCTGTAAAATTATTTCCAAAAAAAGATTAGTTTTTACCATTTTTGGTGAAGATGACAAAGGTGATGAAAGAGGTGGGTGGTTGTAGGCAGGGTGTTCGATGAAATAACCTAGAGGGCCTGACGATGCCGGAGACATCTTTGAGGATGGAGAGCTTGGTGTGCTTGGTGAGGCTTCCGCCGATTTTGCGGAAGGCCAAATCGGCGACGTTAATGGCGGTGTTGAGGAGCGTCGGCAGCGCTCGTCTACCGATGCGGCACTCCCCTTCTACATTAAGCTTTTCAAACCGAACCTCAACGGTCGGCAACTGGATTCCAACCCTGCATTATCTATCTGATTTTAGGGATTTTACAATAATATTTATATATAAAAGGGGCATTTACATATATACCACACAATTCTTACGTATTTACATTACACTTCTAGTAATGGCATTCACTGTAGCTTTCGAGTTCTACTGAAAACTTGCTCCTTCATTTGAAACAATATTAAATCCGGACTACGGAGTTCGAACAACGGACGTGATACATCAATTTTTTTTCCCGTCATTTCACTCACATAAACCGGCAAGAATCTTGAGGCAGGGATTCACAGGGTGTGAATCTAAAGGCAATATTTCACTAAGGTAGTTCAAAGTTTGATTAAAAATTATTTAAAACTCTTAATTTAGCAAATTTGGTAAAAACTAACGAGCTCGATGTGGCAGACTCAATGATAGCAAAATTGGTCCAATTTGAGTCAAATCAAATTTACATCAAGCTGTTAAACAAATTTTGAAAGTTGTTATTACATAATTGGAAGTCAAATGGATTCTAAATCTAACAAGCTTTTAATTAAATCGAGAATCTAACGAGAATCTAACGTCTCTTAAATGTTAAAAGAATATCATCTAATTAAGGAAATCTTCCCGGACCATCTGATTAGAATGACACTAATTCTTTCCTTATTTACACCATGGACTCTATAAATAGAGTCCCATCCCCTCAAGAGAGGGGACCTAAACATGAAGCTAGAAGAAGATTGGAGCTTGGATAAGAATAAGCTGAAGCGTTTTAGCATAGAAGATCCGGTGAATTTCTCTCCCTCCTTCATTTGAAAAAATATTACGTCCGAAGTCCGGACAACAGACGTGATACAGCGGGGCAGCGGGGCGGAGCGGGAGCTTGGCCCTCCGTTACATCACGTCCGTTGTCCGGACACAATATTTTTTTCGTCATTTACACTAATGTCATCTCGCATATTTGTTTGATATATATATATATATATATATATATATATATATTATTAAATTTTTATTTGTTGCTCACATTTATTTTAATAACTTATGAAATTTATTTTGATAAATTAAGTTATTTATTTTTATAACTCATGATAACTTGAGTAATTTATTTTCTTAACTCATAACTTATGTAATAATAAATGATAACTTAAGTTATTCATTTTTATAACTCATGAAAACTTATGTTATTTAATAACTTATTTCATAACTTATGATATTTATTTTTGTAAATTCTTGTAACTCCTAAAATGAATAAATGCTACTAACTTATGTCATTGATTTTAATAATAAAATCAATTTATTTATTAAATTATCATAAATCCTATTGATTAGTAACTCCCTTAATGGATGATAGTTAAATAAAACATAATTCAAAGAATGGGTCATCTCTCTTTCTAACACACCACATACATTTCTTTCCATCCGAAAGTACAGAAAGTTTCAAGGGATTAGAGAGAGAAACCTCATCTCTTTAATATCAAATTTCTTTGAAATCAAGTTTTATCATCATGAATACAATTATGTGTTACTATATTATAGATATATAAAAATCATGAATTTAAAGAATCTTGGCTAGTATGTATTTTTAGAAATTGTGTCATAAATGTTAAACATGAATCTTTAACATATATAATATCGACTCACATAAACTGGCTAGAATCTCGAGGCAGGGATTCACAGGGTGTGAATCTCATGACAATATTTCCATAAGAACATTCAAAGTTTGATTAAAAATTATTTAAAACTCTGAATTTAACAAACTTGGTCAAAACTAACCAGCTTAATGTGACAAACTCAATGATAGCAAAATTGGTCTAATTTAAGTCAAATCAATCTTAGATCAAGCTGTTAAACAATTTTTAAAAGTTTTTATTACATAATTGGAAATCAAACGGATTCTAAATCTAACAAGCTTATAATCAAATCGAGCATCTCAACAAGTTGAATCTAACGAACTTAATAACACTCAATTTTGACATCATTAAAACTCTTAAATGTTCAAAGAATATCATCTAATTAAGGAAATTTTCTCAGACCATTTAATTAGAATGACACTAATTCTTTCTTTATTTATATCATGAACTCTATAAATAGAGTTCTATCTTTTATTGAGAGGGGACCTAAACATGGACTCAGATGAAGACTGTAGCTTGGATAAGAAAAAGCTGAAACTCAACATCGTTTTTGCATAGAAGATCTAGACTTCTACCGTCGCCCACTACTTGCTTCTTGCAGCAAAGTCCCATGTGGAGTCATTATGTGTATTTCGAAATCTCAGTGTACATTGTGAAATAGTGAAGCACTCGACAGAGCAATGTGTCATTCAATACACTGTGTTAGACACGCACCTCCATGTTGATGTAACAACATCCCACATACGGTGCAACAATGCCTCTAGAATAAGGTGTAAAAACAAACCTCAAAGACGGTGTAACAATGCACATTAAAGACGATGTAGCAATACACTCCGAAGATGGTGACTTTCTCCAAACTCATAAACCTCTCACCACACAGCTCACCACTACAACCTATGTGATCAACTATGAACCATGTGACTTACATCTTGTGTGAATCTCAACTCTGAACATGACAACCTAGACACATCATCACAGCTCATCAAAATGACTTATGTGCTTCAAAGCTTGTGCATCTCTCAACTCCTATCTCTGCGGCCTATGAATGACAAAAATGATGAAAGAGATTGGTTTTTGCAGGCAAAGTGTTCGATGAAATGACCTAGAGGTCATGATGATGCCGGAGGCATTTTTTAGGATGGCGAGCTAGTTGGGCTTGGATAGGTCGACACCCAGCTTGCCAGGGGCTGAATCGGTGACGTTAATGACAGTGTTGACAAGCGTCAACAACGCTCTTCTGTCGATGTGGCACTCCCCTTTTGCATTAAGCTTTTCAAGACAAACCTCTTCAGCAACTGATTCCGACCCCACATTATCAGCTTTTAGGCTCCGTTTGGGGCGACTTTCCATTCGTGGTGAGGTGGAAGGCCGCAGAAAAGCTTCGTTTGGCGCGACGTTTCAGTTACGTCAGCTGCGAATCTGAGGGAAAAGCGGGTCGCTGGATCGACCCCGCGGCCTCGCTTCGCTCCCGCGTCCCCCCTTTGCTCCTTTGACATTTTACGCAGGTGCCCTCCTATCCCTCCTATTCGTGATTCCGCCTTTCGTTCGCCGTTGGTGGAGATCCTCTATACGGACACGTCCTGCGACGCTCGAACCCTTTTGAACAACCTTCGCTGGCCCGCAGAGCTCCTTCGTGTCGCAGCCTCTTCGGTCTGCCTCTTCCACCCGTACTTCTCCATCGCTCTCGAGTGCACATCCAAGTGTCTACCCTCGTTAGGTGGTTACACCTTCTCGCCATGGCCTTGAGAAGACGGACCTTGATCAAGGTCATTGTTTTAGGGGACAGCTGGTAAGAGTCTTGCTGCAATGACTCATTCTCTTCCTTGATCCCGAATTTTTCCCGCAACATTACCTCCGATTTCAATCATTTTTTACTTTTTAAGCCTTTCATTCACTTTTGAATGCATAATTTTGGTGTCTAATTTCAATCTACAGGGGAGCTGATTGCCGTTGCATTCTACAGGGGAGCTGATTGCTGTTGCATTCTACAGGGGAGCTGATTGCTGAATCTTGGTTTATGATATTAATGTTTTAAGGTCATTTGACAATCTCCAAAAGAATGCCACAATATACTTATGTATTTACATATCTAGCATCTAAACTGTCAAGAGCGAGACAATAGTTGAAATATGCTCTTATGTTTTTTTCTCTTGGATTCTTAAGTGTAATCTTAAGAACATGTAATGTCATACCTGCTTGGTTATATTTCTTTTCAGCTACAAGGGATTATTCTTTTGTTGTTTTGCCTTATTTTAAGTTGGTTGTACAGTTTATGATTTTCTCATTGAAGTGTGCTCATAAAAATTTCAACCTTCATTTTTTCTTTTACTATTCTTTGTTTTTACGTTTTAACTGGAGAATAGAGCTCACATTGTTACTGTTACATGCTTTTTATTTTTTTTAAGTTGGTTGTACAGTTTATGATTTTCTCATTGCTCATTATTAGTTTATTGGTGTATACGAATTTCTGCTCTGTTTAGAAATGAATTTCTGCTTTTGAAGTTTAAAAAATGTGGCTGTTATAGTCTTTTTTTAAACATTTTTAGCAAACAAGGGCAGCATTGTCATTTTTTCAGAAACAGCTGACCCACAGCTGTTTTCACACAGCAGCACCAAACAAACAGTCAGCTTTCCCGCTACAAACCTTCCTGGGGCAGCGCAGCTGCAGCTGCACCAAACAGAGCCTTAGTGTTTTTCTCATTACTGGTAATAATATTTTTTTTGATACATGTAAGAGGCTGTATGACAACGTATGAGATTTTAATTATATGTATTTAGTAAAATTCGTAAATCTGAATTAACTAAATTCTGAATGGGTTAAATTCACGATATTTTATAAATCCGGGATTTACGGCTGTGAAATCCGGATTTCTCAAATCCACAACTTTATTTTGTCCAAAATAATCGTCTGATAAGACTTAACCTTCATCTATGTTAAATCCTGTTTTAAATCCATTACAGATAGCCCTTTTAAAATTTTAAAAATAGAAATTTTAAATTTTGATTTTAAATAAAGGATAAACCAATGGGTTGTTTGGTAGCATATGTTTAATAAAATTTAGTCATGGATTTAATCTAAATCCAATAAAATAATAAAAAGGGTAAAACTAAATCCTACTCTCCAGTAAATCTAATTTTAAAGTAAATTCAAATTTATCAAATCCCACTATGAGTCGGATTAAACGGATTTACTCCACCCTTGTTCGCATGCTCAATCCCTCTGCAAGATTTCCTATTTAACATATATCTGTATTGCAGCCAAACACCGCCTGAAGCACACCACAACCTCTCCTCTTTCCTCCTCACACAAGCCACAGCCCTCTCCTGCTTTCCCATTCACCCGAAAACCTACTCTGTTTTTCTCTCTCACGCAGAGCCATCTCCCCTCCTCCGGCAGCCTTGACAGCAGCAAGCACCGACATCAACCGTGATCCAACAACAAGAGGCCGCAGCAGCAACCGAATCGAGCTCCTCTTCGTGCCCACTCACCCTTCCTGTTTGCCGAACCACCTGCCGGAATCCGGCCGCCGCCAAACCAACAACCTCCTTTCCTCTCATAAATTCTTTTTTTCCCACTTGCCGAAGTGCCATCCCAAATTCTTTTTTTTAGTCATCCGTTTCTAATATTAAATTTTTAAAAGAATTCTTTGTATTCTTATTTTTAAAATTTGGCAAACTCCATCATTTAAATTTAAATTAAAGATGTGTTTGGCAGCATACTTTCAACAACAATTAGCTGTAGACTTAACTTAATTCCAGCTAAATATTAACTTGGTCAAATTCATTCTTATAAAAGTGACAATTGAAAGCACAAGACATTTGGAATAATGATAATAATAAATTTGGAACGTGACATGTGATTTTGTTCGTTTTATGAGTTTTATTTTTAAGTTGTGTTTTTAAACATTTTTTTTTTATAATTTTACGACATATTTATTTGATCTAAATATTGCATATTATAACTAGACATGATCTAAATATTGCATATTTTAACTAGACATGATCTAAATATTGCATATTATAACTAGACATGATCTAAATTTATCATTTTTGCATGTGTTTATTTTTTTTGCTGAATTTATTTATACAATAAATAATACAATTAATAATAAAAAAAAAGTATATATATAACTCAAATTATTAAATTATAAAAACATTTAAAATTATTCTCACTTCTCTCCTCTTCTTATTCGTGGCATACGGATAGTTACGGTAGAACTATTAATGCTTGGTCTGATAAAGTATTATAATATCATAATCAAATTACTATATATATTTTATTAAAATATTATAATATAAATTCTTTATGTTTATTTTTCAAAAAAAAAAAAAAAAAGGAGGAGAAAGCAGAGGAAAACTCACTGCAGAATTCTTTCTCTGAGCTTCCTTAGAAACCGTTCGTTGTCTTCGTCAGCAACTTTAAAAGCCTGCTCGATGAACTCTCGGCGCTGGCCATCGGTGAGCTTGCGAACATCCACCAACTTCAGCTTTCGTTTCTCCATATCTCCGCCGCCGCCGCCGTCTTCGACGGCGGACATGAGAATGGCCGTTCGAAGTTGCTTCAAAGATGGAAGCCTCATCAGAGAATCAAACAACTCTTTCTCATCTTCCCCTTCATTCTCCTCCGACGTTGCTCTTGAGATCATCTCCATGCTCTGTCTCTCTCACTCTCAGGCGATGGACTCTGAAATAAGTTGAGAGTTTCTTATATAGACGGGATGATGTTGCTTTGGATGGATGGATAACATATTATAAACTTAAGGAAGTATGAGTTAGGAGGTGGTTGTTAGCCGGTAAACCCCACGGTCTGAATATGACTTTGTATTGCTAAGGAATGCCTTAATTGGTGCGCAGTTTTGATAACTTTTTTAAAATTTGTTGACTATCTTCATTGGCATTGACTAGTTGTAAGTTGAGAGAGTTTCCACTTCATTTTCAAGCTATGGTTTTATGCCCAATGTATAGAGTGTTAATCATCAATACATAGAGGAAATGATATTTGATGGTATTGGGTTCTTATGTTAGCATTGCTAAATTTAGTTTTTTAATGATTCGAAGAACAAGAGAAATAATATGTTTTGCCTGATTATTTCTGAAGTTAGGTCGTTAAAACGTATTTTGGAAATAATTTTCCTTTCTTTTTTTTGTGGCAACCTTTTGGTACCAATCTGAAAATTTTTTATATTTCAATTTTTAAAAATCCATATTAAGCATTTCTTTGCTTTTATTTCTTATTTCATAATAATTCATCTAAAACTAAAATTCATTTCAGAAGGAGTTGGAGGCTAATTCTCTCTCACTAGATGCAATATCTGGTTATTGTCTCTCGGACAGTATCAATATTTTTAATTGTATTTGCAATTATAATTTCTTCTACTGAAGAATGAATGGTAGAAAGTAAACTAATTCTTGGAAGACTAATTGAACTTCTAGGATTGAATCTAACTTTGACTTCTCCTTCAAATGTTTGGATTATTTAGTCAATATCTTGATTGACTGTTAGTTTAGGAGGGATAACCACAGTTAGTGACTATTGTTTTGGGAATGCAATTTCATTTCATTTTATTGTTCTATTTGTCGTAATATTAGATACTAATAAATTAGTTTTAATTATTTATTGTTTTGAACAAATTTTCTTACTTTAGGATAATAAGTACATTGCCTTATAATGCACTCTATAAATCAGAGCTATTTTTTTAAATTCAGATAAGAAATCATATCCATGTAGTTGAATTTGAAGTTTAATTGCTTTAAAAAGATTTACATATGTTAAAGCTAAACTAAAATTAGGGAAAATATTGAAAAAGATTTTTTAATGACACAAACTAGTTTTAATAACCACCACTAAGGATTGTGCCCATTTAGACATATTCTCTCTTAAACAGGCAAGAATTAAAGCATTTAATCCCTTAATTGTGAAAGGCTTACATGAGATTTGGATTAAACTAATATAAATATATTTGTAATTTTGCAGATATTTCATCAAGTCTTCTACATTCAGAGGATTATTATTTTGTCATTCTCATCAATAGAAATTGATTGTTTAACTGTTTTAATCAATTTTTTTTCTCTTTTGAAAGCAATGGTTCCCAATTTATAAATCAAAGTATTTTTGACTTTAAGGATTGTCTAGTTATTTCGATACCCTTCGTATATAAGATATTATGATATTTAAACATTTTTTATGTATTGTGTTCTCATAGAGAACATTCAATTTAAAACTAAATTTGAATTTATGGAACTATAAGCCATGCATGAACAATATAATTTAAGAGACTCTTATAAATAATAAATATATTATTTTAAATAGACACAATTTGTTGATATAATATAGAATAATCAGTCAATATACTGTAAAAAAAAAGCAAAATAGAATTTATGCAAACTGCAATACAAAGACTTACAGCCTCCAAGGGGGTCTCACATCTAAGAAGTGCAAAAATTCAAGATAAAATAAATATAACTGAAGATTGTCAGCTTATATTAAAAGAACAAGACAATAAAGAAAACACGAAGAAAGAACAAAGAAAGAGCAAAGTGATATTCACAACAAGCCTTTTTATTATTATAAAACGTACATGTTTCGAATGATTTACAAACATTGGTAGAAGACTTCTTATGATGCACTGAGACTTCTTTCTAAAACTTGGACACCTTAATAAGCAACCAAGCCAACCTTAGATAGATACATGCGGACTTCAAACTCAATACAATATAACATAAATAAGATTTCTTAAGGATAACACATCTGAAAAGTATAGTACACTAAAAAAGGAAACATATCCCAATATCTTTAGTGCATAAAAAAGAGTTGCTAAGTGGAGGGTGGTTCTCACCACAAACATAAGCTTACAACTGCAACATTGTTAGTTGAAAATACGTAGTTTACCAGCTTTTGCTAGCCATAGTAGTGGGAGAGACCCACACACTAACTCTTATCGATAGTTGCCAATATTATTGTGGTTATACGCCTACATCATTAGATACTGGCATCTGATCTCTTGGGTTGTGGGCTATGATTTGAGTTAGCTCTTCATCGACCCAATCTTTAGAATCTTCAGTACATTGTTGTATATTAAGGATAATACTAAAGATAATGTTACAGCGAGATTGGGCTTCAATACATTGATGTATATTAAGTTCTAAATTTTTTAATTTTACCTCTTGCTTTAGGATCAGGTACTTGAGTTAGGACTTCTATGATTTGATCCTTTTGATCATCTATTAGAGTAAATAATTCTGACATTTCAATATTATTTTAATAATAATATTTTTGTTCACATTTGCAACAACAATTTTCATCAGCAGAAGCTTCTGAAGTTGAACTTTGATTTAAATAGTTTTCATCTGTTTGAGAAGGTTGAGAAGATTCAACATTTGCTAACATAAACTTTTTAAGGGTTTGTCCTAACCATTTGTCTATTTTTAATTCATTAAGTTTCTTCTCTGTTATGTTTTTATTTGCATAGTGACCAATTTTGTCACATTTATAACATTTAATTTAAAAGAAAAAAAAAATTCATCCATTTATTTGAAGCCTTAAGTTTACAATGAGAAGATTCATTTTCTTTGTATTACTTTCTTTTTTGAATTTCTTTCTTCGAAATTCTCTCCGAAAATTTTTCTTCTTTTTTGAAGATAAAATATGAGACAGATTGCAAACAAAAATGCTCACAAAATTGTCCAAATTGTTTTATCGAGAATTATCTTCTTTTTAAGCTTGCGATTCATGTTAATTTCAGAACAAAGTTTTAGGCTTATTCAAATGCAACAATTTCTATTTTATTCATTGCCAAAAGCTTAAAAAGGAAAGAAACTGGTGATTAGAAGCTGATAAAGGGTTTATTGATCTCTAATACTTAGCATGGAGAGTGAATTACCATGTAAGTCCAATTTTCTTTTTGTGCCTTTGAAATAAGAAAAAGTTTTTATTTATTAACCTCTTGATCATATTTTTCATCATACATTATTATTGTATAAGTTTAATTAAAATTTATATTTATACCAATTAAAAATTTTCATATCACATCAAAAATATCATTATTTTAACTTTAAGAAAGTGAAACACACCTTTTCATGCATCATAAAATGTGACAAATATGTAAAAAGTGAAGCATAGGTTTTAGAAATGTAAATACATAAAAATTGAGTGATATGTATGTAAACCTTCCAAAAAAATTTATCCTCAAGGATCTTATTATAAGACTTGAGTTTTCTTGGATAATTTCCATGGCAAAAGTCAATGAATTTTAAATGTTAAGCAAAGTAGTTTATTTCAGTAATTAGCCAACAAGGTATAAAATTATAAGTATTCATAATTAGAGCCGTGAATTCAGATCGAAGAACGTTAATCACTCGAAGATTGATTTGAATTTTGGCTCGGATCGATATCAGCTACAGATAAATGAGCCAAGCTATGAGCCAAAATTTTGGATTGAATTTTTTTTTTTTAGCCGACCCCAGCTCGGCTCAAAATCAGATCATTAACAGCGTATGACTGTGAATTTAGCTCAAAGTTTGCTAATTTGAATTTAAATTTGGATCGAGTTCGAATCAACCGAGCTACTAGTAAAAATTTTAGATCGAATCCTTTTTAAATCGGCCACAACGCAGCTTGAACTCGGACCATTAATGACTGAATTCATAATTTCAACGAGCTTCTCGAATTTTTAATTACTCTGTGGATGTACTTGATAGAAAAATTTATATCATGTCAAAACTTACCTATCGCATTTTGTGTTTACATAAAATACGACTCTGCCTTCTGCGATTCGAATATAGTTAGTAGAATAAAAAAAAAAAAAAAAAGTTTTTGACGGCTTTCCTGCGTGACAGACTGCAGCATCACATCCCAGTTGACCGGTTAATGCCAGCCAAACAGCTATTTGTCATGACTTGCTGAAATAATAACTCAAATAAAATTTTTGTGCTACAAAACTTAATGTAATTATTTAATATTTTAATATTACCCAAAAATTTAATAGACATAATAAAAATAAAAAAAAAATAGTAGGAGAAATATAAAAATAGCAAAAAATTTTTTTTTTTTAGTTTTAAAATGAAAGCCATTAAATGAGGGCTCATAACATGTAAGGTGACACGAGTTAGATTTTTTGGATCCTTAGCACTGTCATATTCATGTCAATCGCGGTGTTGGAGTTAGCTTTAACTCACATTACTCGCCCGGATTGACTTAAAAAATAATGCGTCAAGACAATGTGACCGACACGGGATCACTCCTCTATCGAGACTGGCTCGCTATCCATGCATACACTCATGCAAATGCAAATGCAAATAGTGACGTGATAGAAGCGATGGGTGTGAGTGTGACGTGGAGGCAGTGATTTGATAGGGTGGGTGTGCCGCAGAGGTAGAGGCCTGAAGGATGGGAGTGTCGAGATGTAGTGGCCCGAAGAAAGGGGCGTGCAGTGGAAGTAGTGCCCCGACAGGGTGGGCGTGTCATGGCGACAACGACCCAAATGAATGAGTGCGTCGTGGAGGTAGTGACTCGAAAGGGTTGGAGGCAGCGACTCTATGGATAGGTGTGTCATGGTGAGAATGTCTTGAAAGGGTGGGCATGTCATGGGGACAACAAAGCGAGGAATGGGTGTGCCGTGGAAGCAGAGACCCAAGAAGGTGGGCATGCC